TTTCAATTTGGTAGAAAATTACTTCGTTCAAAAGTCTAAGGACTCAATGGTACTGACATTATCGAGTAAAAAATTGGCATGAGAAAAAATATACAAAAGTGTCTGATAACAAGGAATTTGTTCATCCATCTTTTTATATCCTTGAAGCAATAAAGTCACCCCTCATTCAGTGGCCACTTCATTTTTCACATTGCAGACGAAATCTAACAATGAACACAAAATACATCGTTCTGCCACTGCTGTGCACAATCAAAATGGGAAACGGTATTTGGAAAAGGAGATTTGGGCTTCCAGCAAATACATAAGACCACATTACATCCATGGGGACAAGACGTTACAATATTCTTATATATAAAACAACAAATGCAGGAACACCCTGACAGGGTTGTTTTGCGATTAAAAACAACAGGTTATCCTCAACTTGGTCATTAGTTCCTGGTTAACGATATGTGCACAGAGGATGTGTAGTTTGATGATTCTTTTATGAATGAATGAGCAAATATGAATATATACTTCTTCAATTTCACAAGCAAATATAAGGGTAGGATGTAAGTCTAAGATGTTTCCAATGGGGAATGTTCCTCCTGACGAAAATCAAGTAGTTTTCATAAAAGAGCTCTAAAACAACTAAAAAATTATTTAATTAGTTAACAAAAGCTAGTGAATTTCATTGTTCATCTGTTGACAGTTACTCACCAAAGTTTCACTAATTTTGGACGCGCAGTTATTATGTAACAGTCATTTGAGTGAGTTGATGTGGGGTTTTTTTAATGGACAAAATCGAGTATCGAGCTGTCATTGAATATTCGTTTTTGAAAAGGTCTGTTTGTAGGGAGAGTGAGTGATCCATTGTGAATCATCCCGAGGAGTTGTCCTCCTAGGTCATCGTCCATCCTGTCCTTTCCAGGAAGGTGGACAGGTCACTACGAGACATCTTCTTTACATTGGCAGGTGAAGGTCAAGACTCACCGAACACACACTCTCTTTGGCAACTTTGAGGTTCTTACGGTGGCCTCAGCGAAGGTTTTGCAAGGTGCAGCGACATTACTGTCGTTGCACCGCTTCTTGAACCATTTTGGGGTTTCCTCCGTTGAGGTGCACAAGTGATGGAGCTTTCCTGCAGGGGCAGACGGTCCCTTGCCTTTATTCAAGGCGAAGCTCTTGGCGCCCGCCGCAGAAAGTACCCTTGCTGTTGGAGGTGGAGTGGTGGCGGAGAAGGGTGCACTTACAGTTGCTGTCACTCCTGCCTGCCACTCCTGCCACTCCTGCCTGCCTGCTTCCAGCCTCATTCCACGCAGTAGATTGGGGTGGACATTATTCGTGTGTGTTCCCACGAGTAGCAAGGGAAGAGCTGGTCACCTCTAGCAGAGCCCCGCATTACCAGAGGTAGGCTGATTCGTAACCGCATGTCACTCTACGGCCATTCAGCTATCGGCACGATTCCTTGCACCTTAGCTTGGGTGGCTGGTCCACGATGGCATATTTTGCAAAGGCTTTTGGGGAGTTTTAGTTTCCCTCCCCCTTCTTATTCATGCCACTGGCAATACGCCTATGCGAGTCCAAAATGATTTGGATTCTGTGTATGGGGATTTTGCACCATCATTTACCACAATGAGATTTTGGGCAGATGAATTTAAACGCGGCCATAAGAGCTTGGGAGACAATGAACGTTGAGGACGTCTAAAAACTGCAACTACCGATGAAAACATCGCCAAAGTTCACAAAATGGTGCTAGACGACCACCGAATTGAAGTGAGAGAGATAGCAGGGGTTATGAACATGTCAAAAGAACGTGTTTGTCACATATTACATAATAATAATAATAATATTTATTGGCAATTATACATTGTTCAATGTCACAAGTTGTACGAGACAATTTCCGAATAAATATTGAATTCCCACAGAAGGATATACGTGTGCGTGGGTTCTGCAGAAATTGGAATACTAATGAATACGATTTCAAAATTTAAAATATGAAATGGTATGAGTAAATAAATAAAAGGTAAGATGTTTTAACAATATCAGACATATTATTTTAATTATATCTTCAAACTTTGAGTCAACATTTTTTAAATCAACATTTAGAGTATATTTATAAAAAGTCAAACCAATTCAATCAATTTAAATCTTTTCAACTCATTTTCCAAAGGAAAGGCAGTTATGTTAACACACACTCAAAACGGATTGTCTAAATAGAAGATTCAAGACTTATAATTTTGGCGGTAAAATGGTGAACTACTAAAGGTGTGATCCACGCATCCAGAAGTTTGCCATTATTGAAGAATAATACATTTTATCACATAATACCTTTGAAGTATAATACTGATTAGTCAAGTGATGGATATTTTGAATGAAGATATGTCACTGGAAACGTTATCACTCTCGAATTGCTTTTCAAATCAAATTACTAAAAATGAAAACTGAAATATCATAAGATTTCATTTGTCCTAGTATCTCCTGATGATTATATCAAAAATTTAATGAAAGCCATAAAAAATCATAATTTTTGTTGTCTTTTCGAAAAACGAATTGAATATTTCATTACTTCCTCAAACTGAATTGTTCTAAGCTTTTCCCTATTTACATATCAAGACAAGATATGTATTTTTATCGTTGTTTGAGGCTTCAGTATATCCATCACTATTTTGTGATTACAATTTATACACATGAATTTATTTTTGACACATTATTATCAACTTCTGTATTCCACAAGCGATATCTCAATGAATAAGCATGATGACATATTGTGAAATACTTTTCCATAAGATTGATTGCCATACCCTTCGAAAACGGCGTAAACGATTTTAATGAAATTCTATATGTATATTCAGTAAGTCTGAGAATAGGTTTCCCTGAGTGATAATGGTGTTCCACCCCAATCATTTTCTTTTCATTTTTTGGAAGAAAAATTTTGGTTTCCATTTATAATGATTAGGCATTAAAAAATATATAACCCTCAATTTCTACTCTTCTATCGCTCCGCAATTTGAATCCATTACAGCTGTGCAACGGCACGCGATTAGTCTTTGAAAACTCAATGAAGAACGTTGTCAAAGTTAGCATTTTAAATGCCAAGTTCCGAGGTGAAAATATATCAGTATAGCAAATCCCTATTATACCTACAGATGTGCCATATCATTTCAAACGTGTGCAATTTTCAATAAGATTAGCAATTGCAATGACTGGTAATGACTACCAAAGCCAAACAACGTCCGTTTGTGGCTAGGATTTGAGCACACCATGTTTTCCACACGGACAAGTATTGCTCTCAAGTAGGCAAAACATCCAGTTTCTTTGTGTTATTGTAATGTGTGTTATTGTTTTTATAGAAATAATTTATGTGGCAAAACAACGTATAATTTATAATTTCAAATTTATGAGTTTAAAATTCGCACCAAAACACTCCAAAGTATCATGGCGTCACTTGTGACGTCACGTTCGAGTAGACTACATGTAAACACTAGAAGCTCTACCATAAACTTGGTGATAACTATTATCAAATGTGAATTCAAAAATGTTTCGGCGGTGTGTAGTCCCTCAGTGTACTGATACATCAATAAAAACTCCGAACAAATTAATTGTGTTCGTCCCGTACAAAAAACAACACGATATAAGTGGGTTAAACTTGCAAGACGAGATTCAGTACTCATCTTAATTTTTGTGAAGATCACTTTGACGTAAGTTTCACCTAAATTTGTAGATTACAAACCATTATTAGCTTGGTCGAGTATTGAATTCAATGACAAACAAAATTTTGAGGTTAGCTGTCCCTTGGTATGTTACCTTTTAGTGAGTACAGATTCCCTTTGCGTTTTAACTGTAGGTATGTAACTTATTGTATCGTCTTCAGAAAATGCCCTGGAGAAGCTTAAATAAATGAATCAATGTGTAGGTTTGTGGTAAATACCTACTTGATTTCTAAGGTTCTACTCTTTGTGGAATATAGAAATGTGATGACAAATGTCAAAAATAAATTCTACTACCAACTATATCATCATAAAAACCTGCTTTCGCCTTCAGGAATATACATATTTCTGAAAATGTAGTAGACCTACACTTATTTGAGAGTTACGACACGAAAAATGTTTGCAATTTCCAGATTACGTGACCCGAAAGGAGTAGAACCATTGGAAAGTCAAGTCAAACTCATTTTATTGGCACATAATAGAGCCACTTTTCCTATCAATAACCAATACAGAGTATTTTCAAACCGAGTACCCGTCGACGCAAAAATCCATCATTGATATGATATCGAATTGTGAAAAAATACTTATCACTGATAAATGTCAAAATTCTTCTGATTAGACCACTGGCAAGACGAATATTGAATTTGGAAAAAGTATCTATTATAGTGATGAACTAATCTTTTGCTATTACAATCAGAAATATGAAATTCTTTCATATTCCTCAAAATTTCAAGGCATGTAGTAAATAGGGATGTATAAATTGCACCCAAAAATGAGATGATAGTGAAAAATTAAATTTTGGGGTTATGAATGTCTTGATTCTTTCTCAAGATTTTGATTTTTTTTCTAGATCTCAGCTGAGAAGAAAGTCGAGATTTCTTATCTGAAAATGAAATACAGGCTACTGTGTAGGTACTCAATAATATAACAGATGATATATCTAGAGATAAAAAGTCGAGATTTCGAGAAAAGAAACTAAAAAAAAGTGGAAATTCAGGCAAAAACTCGGGAATTCAAAAATAAAAATTGAGATATGACTAGAATAAGAATATAAATACTGAAGTTGTTCTTCAGTATTTATTTGAAGATCTCGCTTTATTCTTACAGTACAAAAAATATAAAATCTTCAAAAGTGCAGAAAAATTGAAAAACCGAGAAAAAAGTCAAAATCTTGAAAAAAATTGATATTTTGAGAAAAATTGCAAGTTCTCGAGAAATCAAGAAACCGAGAACTCTAAAAAACAGTAGTATCTTGTCTTATATCTCGATAGGGAAAACTTGAAAATGAAACTTTATTAAGAAATGATTATCAAGTCCAGTCAACGCTTGGAAGTAGGCAGATTGAGACCCCGGCGACAAGTCACAAAATCTTTATAGCATGTCACTACTTGGGGAGTAGGCAGATTGAGACCTCAGTGTGGTCATTCCTTCTCAAAAAAGGCTTCAAAGTCGACGCCGAAACGTCGAACAACTGAAAACAACATACGCGGTTCTCAGATGACATCATCAAGGCTTGTTTTCGCTTGTTCTTCATGAGACGTTACGTTAGTGCTGACATTTTTTCCGGTAACATATGAAAACTGATATGATTATTTGAACATATTTATTCATTTTCGCAAGGTAGATGATGGGGAAAATGGCGCATTATAACATAATAATAAAAGTTACAATTTCTGTCTGAAATTTAACTCTATATGGCATTTTCAAGCGCTTCTGCCTGTACCTCATGTCCGCCATAATCGTCTGCCATTATCATTATTTCATAATCATGATATTATACTTGGAGATTCCTGATTGGCGGTTCTCCTGAAATAATTTATAAATCAGTTCAATTTTTATATCTGTCTCCCCTGAGAGACGCCGTAGCCACCGTTTTTGAGCTAAGTGTGGCTCCATATGTTCAGTCTGTCGTCCACTGGCTCTTAAGCTTCCTCTCAACTATAGGCCAACACAGGCATATACATGTTATCCTATGATTGCTACAACTATTGTGTGTTGTGCGACTATGACGACACGCACGTCATCATGGCCCCAGTCTTGGAGCCCATCGCGTCCTTCAACATGGGAAATGATGGTCGCCAATACGCAAATACGCCCTCGACATGTTCACCCGTATTTCCCCGTGTTGGCCGATATTGAAGAAGGAGCTTTAGTCTACAGGTCTACCACCCTCTTTTTCCCGTCCATGAACTCGAGACCGATTCACCTACTCTTTGGGGGTGACCTTCTTCAAAACGATAGTGAAAGTAAACGAGTGAGCGGGCGATGAATGCGGCGTAGAAGAGGGAGAGGAAGAGGATATCGTGACTGTGGGAGGCGGCTGGGGCTGGTGCTTCGGAGAGGGGGGTATTGACTGTGGCGGGGGATGAGGCGCAGCAGTGGCCTTATGTTAGTTGGAGGAATGTTTTCCGTCCGAAGAAGCTAGCTCGCTGGATTCGCTACTGCTCAACGTCGTGTTGGATCCGTAGGGATCCACGGAGCTCTGCACTGACATCGATCGGCCCTGGCCTTGCCTTCTTATGCGATTTGGTGAGAGTTTTCCGGGGTCGATACTTGCTGGGTCTGCCTGCAACACGGATTGCTTGACTATCTTGACAGAGAGAGTAAATCTGAAGGTGGTGGTTAGCGCTTCGACCGGGACTGGAGACTGAGATCAGAAACATAGGCAGTGGTCCGAAACGGGAGACCGAGAACAGTAATCGAAATGAGAGATCACAATGCATACTCTTTTGAAAAATATCAACTCACGGTAATACCGTGAGAAAATAGTGATTTATTTCAGTCTTCAGTTTCTATCTCGATCTATGGTTTTGACCAAACGCTAATCACTACTTTGATGAATGTCATGCAAGGAGAGTAATTATACTGGAGAGAATATTAGAGTTATAACCTCTTTTAAGTAATCAAGATGTATGAATTCAACTCGGAAATATATCTATCTAAACAAATAAAATGAACAAAATCGTATACCTCCTTCTAAAATTATATATTTTCACATAACTGTTCTGTAAGAGTTGCCTGTAATATATTTCAACTGTGTGAGAACTGATGTTTGGAGTTGAATTAGATCAAAATTCTATAGTTGTGTAGCGAGGTCAGTTGTTAGGAACATGAGCAGGAATTCTTGCGTGTCTGCTCAAAAAAAATGCAATTATGTAGAATCCATTATTGTTGAGGTGATTAATCAAGGTATCCTGAACTACGTTCCAGAGAAAGGGTGATGAGACCCCTCCCTGTGGACTTCCCCTCATGACCAGTCCTCTACATGATCAATGTCTTCTACATTGATACTTATTGCTCTACTAGAGAGCATCTTAAGTATCCATTCTCCTACTACCAGGGGTACATTCCTGGAGTGTAGTTGCTGGGTAATTGTTGGAAAGGTTGTTTCATCAAACGCTCCCCCGATGTCTGTGAATATACCCAGAGTGGAGTATTTGTTGTCCAATGATCTCTCGATTCTGCCAACCACATGGTGAAGGGCCGAATCAGTAGACCTTTCCGGAGTATATGCATGCTGATTTGGATGAGCTGGGTTGTGAACTAGTACTCCATCTCTTATGAACCGCTCTCATAGTCTCTCCATAGTTTTTAAGAAGAATGATGTGAGACCAATTGGTCGGAATGCTTTTGGTAAGGTGTAGTCCATCCTACCTGGTTCGGGTATAAATACTACTCGTACTTCTCTCCACTTACTGGGAATATGGTGTAAGGCACCTACGAAAAGTGCGTACAAGAAGTAAGCTCCTACCATCTAGAAATCAAATAAAGCTGCTATACATGGATCAGAAGAAGTAGGAAAGTTTATTTTCCTTATAATACAGCAGGGACTGGTGTAATTTACGAAAATGAATCTCGAAATACATTAAAGGCAACCCTTATTTCGAAAATTTCCATAACCAATGGAGGTCTGTATATTTCTTTCTCCTACTTTGATGAATAATTTGACTTGGTAACATAGTGAAGAATTAGTTGATTTTTTACTTTGCGAACACGATGTGTACATATAGATAATTCATGATTCTAGAAATGCAGTCGAACTTTACTAAAACGAGAATCGAAGCCAAACCAACCTGGCCGCTAGAACTTTATCCCATACTAAGCCGCATTAGTGAATCGACAGACATATTTAATTATTTCGGTAAATGCATCAGATGACCTATAGTTAAAATCATGCAAAAAAGACTAAGTAAAGGAAAATCAAAAATTACTGCACCTGGTATGCTAGCGCATTCATTAACAGGCCATACGGAACCAAACCTAGCGGATGGATTTCTCTCATCAATACATTGGCGGGAATCTTGTGAAACTGGATGTACTCCAAAAAGTTTCCGATCACCTCTTTTATGCTGGTGTTGGGGTTACCGTCACAAAATTTCTTACCTAATAAAAATTTTTGTTTTTACAAGTACAATACATTATATAAAATAGCGCGAGCAATCAAACGAGGAACTATTTCCAAACTGAATAAAAACCATAAAAAGCTTCGTAAAAATTGTGAAACTGAAATTATAATTACACTGTAAAATGCATCTGCTTCAAATTATCTTGGAAATCGATAACACATCAACAAAGAAATGATACATCTAATAATTAGGGTGTTTCGAAAGTTTTGTCCATTTAAATATCATGTGTTATTGTAGTTCCATATCTCAATAAATATTTATTCTACTATGTCGTGGTATAAACTTATCTATAGAGAATTTTGAACTCTACATTGATGTCATCCCCAAAACAGTTTTTTTCCAAACATTAAAATTAAAAAGAACACCCAAAAATGTATTTCCTCGTTCAGAAATATGCAGTATAAGCATTATATGTATATGCTTAGGTAATTTTTGTACGGGATTATATAATCTGTAACAACAATATAAATTGCAAAAATGACAATTATGGAATGGATAAAGTTTCATTTGACTTGATGCTGTCCATCTTTTCCGAATTTTATTTTATTTTTTTGCTTGGTACTATATGATATCGTTGAGCGATATCGGCCAACTTTTCTCTATGAATTCCATTTGAACCAAAGCGCTGCCGAAGCAGCTCTAAAAATGAACCAGGCATTTGCAATGATGGTGTTAAAGAATGGACTGTTCGACGATGGTTTGCGAAATTTCGTTTCAGAAATTTCAGCCTTGAAGATGAGCCCCGAAGTAGGCGACCTACAGTAATCCAGAACGAAGATTTGGGGACCCTGGTGGAGATTGACCCATCACAAACGGTGCGTGGGATGGCCAAAGAACTGGGTAACAAACGAAAAGCACTTCGATAACTTTTTCACCGGGGAACGCATGATGGGTGAGGCGGAGACCCAAGGGGGACCAAGCTCTTTGAATGTCTCCGATACTCATTTCTCTGCATCGATTGCGTCACACGTTTCTCTCTTCCACTCACTAAAGTCTCTCCGAAACACACCTATCTCGAGTTGAATGTTTCACCAGGTTCCGATCGGATGTCATGAAAATTGCAAAAAATTCAGCGCCATAAGAAAATACATGGGATTTTGTGCTAGAAATCGCTTTGTTCATCTACTAATTTGAATTTTCCGCTGTACGCGCGGTAGCTTCTGATTGGTTGACTAAATGACGGTAAAAGTGGAGGAGTGGGCTCTCACACATTCTGTGTGAATTAGGCCTGAGGTCCATAAATGGCCACAATGAAGCGCCATAAAAAATACATGAGATTTTGAGCTGGAAGTCACTTTGTTCATCTACTAATTTGAATTTCTCGCTGATTGGTTGACTGAATGACGGTAAAAGTGGAGAAGTGGGCTCTGAAAATCTAAGGCCCAATCCACACAGAATGGGCGTCTTGCAGAGACGAGACACCGACCTTTTTCCCTTCCATTCTGTGTGAATTGTGCCTGAGGTTCATAAATGGCCAGAATGAAGCGCCATAAAAAATACATGGGATTTTGAGCTGGAATTCCTATAGCTATATTAATTATAACTTTCAGCAATCAGGACCAGGCAAAAGGCCGTCGTCGACTTCATCGAACCTGACGGAATCAATCTACTTTACAAAAGTGCAAAAGTGCACTGATTCAAATGGCACTTGAATATTATACTTTAAAGTAGAATCATAAAGACGGATAAAACTTTTGAACAACCTAATATTTCAATAAAAATAAAACTGGAACCTCTGGTGTGAAATAAATTCAAAAACAAGCAGTTTTCTTGAACACCAGAAATGAAATACTCTTTCCGACTCCTGGACATTGAAAATCTCCCATCTATGATTGATAAATGTCACTAAAAGTGGCGTTCAATGCCAAATGAAAAAAAAAATTATTTCTTAATCAGTAGTACGACTGTAAGACTTATGAATTTTTATAATAATATTTTCCAGCGATTTGTGAAAGTCTCACTCACCCCACATCAGTGCTGCTTGAAATTTCGTAAATTCATCTGCTTGAAGTTCTTCTCTAGCCAAAATGAGCCTGACAACATGTTGAGGAAGAAGAGTGAAGGATCCCAAATTCAAAACTTCGTTTCCGTGTTCATCCACAAATTCTAACACCTGAAAAATTTTGAACCTGATTCAAACTAGAGGCGTATCAGGCGTCATTTGTGTAAAAAAAGTTTTTTGACTCTCTACTGTCTAGATCTACTGTGATCTACATGTGCATGTAGATCATGCATATAATTTACTTTCAGATATAAACTGAGTGACTCTAAATCTTTGGACTATCACCTAGCCAAAAAAGCATACTTTGCACTTCAGATTGTTTTGGTTCCTAAGCCTATTTGTCAACAAAATCAAAACTTTCAATGACAATAAAGCATTTCTGACTCTGACTCTGAATAGGAAAAAGTGATTTTCATAAAAATCAATGTTCATATGAAAGTAGTTGTTTCATTAGTACTTTTTATCATGCTTTCTCTTCCAGTTTGTATCTGAAAGTAACTTCTTCAAATGTCTGGAAATTTTTGTAAATAGTTTATTTTGAACTTGCTTTCTTGAAGTAGATTTCTTTCCTTCTTCCTTCTTTGGAGATGTAAGAAGCCAAAGATTTTTTTACAGTAACTAATTTCTCCTATAAATGTACCTCTTTCAATTTATTATTCAATTTATTCACTCTAATTTATTTAAATTATAACCATATTGTAGCATATTACCGAAGATGACTAGCAGAAAAGGATTAATAAGGAAAATTTAATTGAAAAATATTATATGGAGATTGGACACTTCCATATATTAATGGTGGAAATGAATTCATCATTGATTTAAATGACGACAGTGATAGTGAAACAGAGAATATGGAAGAGGAATTATCAGAAGATTTCGAAGAAAGTTAGTGAACTGTTTTTGAAGCGATCGATTGTTTATATATGTGAGTAAGTAGTATTCAGAAGTATTTTCAATTATCAATTACATTATATACTTATTATGATTCTTATATAACCAGAAATGATTATTGAATAAAGAAATTAGTTAGCTTCCTAACTATATTATCAAAGGGGGTCAGTTGAAAGGTAGGTTGCACTATATCGTCTACTTGAACTATACATATAAATGATTCTCACGAGTTAATTGAAAGGAGGTAAAAAGTTGAGTTACTGGATTCGGGTTCAGGTTCAGGACACCTTTAAAATGGTTCGTGTCTTGGGTTGCATTCACCTTTTGTACTAAAGATTTAGTGCATTTGTACTGGATGTATCGCTCAGCCGAGGCCAGTAGAGCGCAAACTGTATCCACATTTATGCAGCATTGTACAAATCCAGAACAGGCTTTTCATCGGTGTATTAGTCTATCTCTTACAGACACTTTTCAATCTTGCAGGTAAAAATAATAATTTTCCTGAATTATGGAAGATATCACGAGTTTGTCCCATTTTTAAGTCTCGAGATCCATCTGATATTCGGAATCATTGTCCTATCTCAATCCTATCGAACTTTGCAAAACTTCTCGAAATTGTCATCTACAATCGCGTATATTCATTCCTCAGTTCTACAACAACATGGATTTATGTCAAACAGATCCGCGATAACAAATTCATTTATATTGACCCAAAATGTTAGTGATGTCTTAGATAATCGAGGTCAAGTTGATGTGATATATACTACTTTTGCTAAAGCATTTGATCGACTTGATCACATGATTCTTCAACAAAAACTCCACCAATTTGGTTTCCATAATTCAGCAGTACTTTTCATTAAATCCCACTTAATATTAATTTAATTTCATATTTGTGTGATATCAATTTTGATTCTCTAGAATATATTGTCGACACTACATCTCAGTATTTCATGGAGAATTTCTAATTTTCTGGTACAGTTTATTTTATTATATTATAACTTTGTTATTCATTTTCTCAAATTGTAACTTTGTAATTATAAGGATTAACATACTTAGTCAACCCTGTAAATGGTTTTTAACTGTTGGGTAATACAGGCTAACATCGCAGTTTCTTTCCATATGTTACGACATTATATATTGCGAATAGTATGGGTCCTCACGTAGAACCTTGTGGTACACATAAACTAATAGCAGTGATGTCTGATTTAATTTTTTGAGTTATACTACCCACATCCTAATAACTTACCCAAAAGTGTTCTTGGCTGCAAAGTGACGCATCCTGTGTGTATATACTCAATCAATTGGCGAAAGACATCAGGTTCAAACTCTTCGATGATAAGAGTTTGGTGTTGTTGAGCTGGTGGCTGGACAGAGCAGAACAAAGTTCAGTTGTTTTTCAAAAAGAAACAGATCATGCATCTACAGAATGACCCAAACATAGAAACACCTCTTGTGAAGTATCGAAAAGGAACTTTTAATCACTCAGAGGTAGCTTTGATTAAAGTCAGAAATTTTATTCGATAATAGTAACAACATACTACATGAGGTTATCATAGGGGTGGGTCACTTCATGGGTTTAGGCGAAATAGTGATACTGAATATACTGAGGAACGCACCAAAGCTCTAACAGAGATTGTCTGAAATTCCCTGACGAGTATTTTCAATTAAAATCTATGCAGCCTACACTAGGTATTATAAAAACTGAGTAAACTAGAAAGGAATCCGTGCATCAAATGTAATTTTTCATAACAATAGTTCTTGTAAGAATAATTCAATCTCTAGAATTTTTCTATATTATTTGTTGATGAGAATATTCATAGTGGAACTGTTTTTGTGGATTTCTTTTCCGCAGCGGGATCTCAATTGGTTAAAAAGATCTAACGTTGAATTTTCTGAACATAAATATGCAGAAGTGAACAATTGTTACAATCAATCTTTGAAATAGGCGAATAAATGAAATAAGGGTCAGTAACTAACAGTAGAAAAAGTGAGTGTATACAGGGTGTAACTAAATAAGTGTAAAACATTCAAGGAGGTAATTCCTCATCGAAAAAAAGATACAATCTTTCATATAAAGAAATTTCATTGGAGCATCCCTTGTTAAGATACAGCCCCTTGAAGGGGGTACATAAAATTTGTATAACAATTTTTTTCACAAGNTACCGATCATGATTAGCGCCATAATTGCAATACTGATAATATTTCAATTATATTGATTTATAAAATACTATCATCAGATTTCTCATTTGCAACTTTATAGAAGAATAAAAATGAATGAATTCATTAAAATCCTATATTATCATGGATTATTACAAATACATTGTATATTCTGATATATTCCAATTTTTTATTGATTATTTATGATTAATCTTACTACCCTACCGAAACGCTGTTCGTGGTATCAGCCAGTGGAGTAGTTGTTTTCTGATAGGCGTCAGTCCATTCAACCTACTGTATAGGTATATCCGAGGCTGGCTTCAACGTTTAAAGTTCATTTCTTTAGATTTGTTTACTGCCAGTCTTCAAGCATAGCACAGTGACTAATAGGAAAGTTTTCTTCCTTACTCAGAGGAATCGGGAAAATTACGGATATGCAGTTGGTTAGTACTTCGTCCACTAGATAGAGTGACATTTTGTTGTTCGGTCCAACTCAAGACGAGGCAGCAGCTTCAGGGTATGCTTAGGGGCGGAGCTCCATACATGAGAACAATACTCCAATGAAGATCTGATCTGAGCTTTATAAAGCATCAAAAGTTGCTGAGGTGTGTAAAGTTTACTGGTTCGAAACAGTGTTCCAAGCTTTTGAGAAGCAGCCTTTGTAATTCCAGCGAAATGATTGTGCCAAGACATATTGAACTCCAACAAACTTATCGAAGCAGAAAGCGGAATTGAACACTGCCTTGCAGTCAAAGCTGCATTCAAATACAGAAGAGGATTATCGCCGGCGGTCAATGTCGAAGCTGAGCTTTGCAACTGACCACCTTGGGGAGCCTCCTTTATCTTTGATATTCGATGATTGAGTTCTTTGTCTGTTTAAAATCTGTTCTGTTTAAAATCTGTTTTTCCGTTAATCAGCTGTTGCCCCCATAAGAACGACAAGTCTCAGAAGTTGAGAAACTTGTGCGAGCTAAGGACTAACGAGGTCTTACCTTTTAACGTGTGATTCCTGACACGATCGATCCAATAGATGGCGTCGTGAGGGGATATGACGTCGCCTTTGCATATTATGTAATATTTTCAATTGTAATGTAGCAATACAATAGAAGAAGGTGTCGTGAAAGTATATGTCTGGAAATTATCATTATTTGTATCACTTTTCACTAACATTTGCTTCAATCATATATGTACTTTCTTCAGCTATTTCGTTTCGAAAGCATATGTTGTGTTGTTGGAGATTCACATGAATATTGAGATGTTTCCGAAACATGATTATTCAACAAGTTCCGCATGTTTATTGAATAATAAGACATAGGTTAGCAGTTAGTCTAAGAAACTCCCTAAATTTGAATTTATACAACTGTCTCCATACCACAGTTAAAATCTTTGGATTTGAGAAATTTCAAAAATAACATCAAGAAATATCTTCTCAACACCTGTTTCCACACAATCGAAGAATATGCTGCTGCAGCTGGTCAATTCATGGTTTTTGAAAAATGATTCACGTTCTTGATCTTTTTACATTGATATCCTTATTTTATTACCTTTCATGTGACACTGTGATCATTTTAAAGAATTTTGATATGCCAGTTTTATTCATTTATAAAATTTATTACTTCAATCTAGAGACGTTTTTGCTCATTTAAAGTGTCTGACATAGTACCTATGAGTTATATATGACTTGCCATAAACGTATTTTGTATATAAAGTGGTCAATTAAATTATTTTACTCTACTCTACTCTATACTCTTATTGATATCATCATTATGATAGTTCTACCTCAAAACTCCATATAAGATAATTTGTTGAATTTATTAAGATATTGCTACTCGATTCGGAACACTCTGTACATCCTATCCATAAATTTCAGTGCGTCACATCATTCTCCGAAACAGTTCCACCAGAATTGTATTTTCTGAGTTGATTAAAAAATAATTTATTCGTGATCAAGCAAATTAAAGGCGTGCATTTTCATAAATGAACTTCACACATGCAAGTTATTCATTATNAATAATATTAAATGATAAAATAAAAAAGCACTCCCCACTTTTATTCATTTCTAGACAATTTTACTCAAAATACCCATATATCATTTGCGCCAAGGTTTTATACAAAAAGTAAAAATTTTTCATATGCCTAGACACCATCATTTTGCACCCCTCCAAACATTAAAACATTAAAATTAAAAAGAACACCCAAAAATGTATTTCCTCGTTCAGAAATATGCAGTATAAGCATTATATATACTTAGGTAATTTTTGTACGGGATTATATAATCTGTAACAACAATATAAATTGCAAAAATGACAATTATGGAATGGATAAAGTTTCATTTGACTTGATGCTGTCCATCTTTTCCGAATTTTATTTTATTTTTTTGCTTATTACTATATGATATCGTTGAGCGATATCGGCCAACTTTTCTCTATGAATTCCATTTGAACCAAAGCGCTGCCGAAGCGGCTCTAAAAATGAACCAGGCATTTGCAGTGATGGTGTTAAAGAATGGACTGTTCGACGGTGGTTTGCGAAATTTCGTTTCAGAAATTTCAGCCTTGAAGATGAGCCCCAAAGTAGGCGACCTACAGTAATCCAGAACGAAGATTTGGGGACCCTGGTGGAGATTGACCCATCACAAACGGTGCGTGAGATGGCCAAAGAACTGGGCAACAAACGAAAAGCACTTCGATAACTTTTTCACCGGGGAACGCATGATGGGTGAGGCGGAGACCCAAGGGGGACCAAGCTCTTTGAATCTCTCCGATACTCATTTCTCTGCATCGATTGCGTCACACGTTTCTCTCTTCCACTCACTAAAGTCTCTCCGAAACACACCTATCTCGAGTTGAATGTTTCACAAGGTTCCGATCGGATGTCATGAAAATTGCAAAAAATTCAGCGCCATAAGAAAATACATGGGATTTTGTGCTAGAAATCGCTTTGTTCATCTACTAATTTGAATTTTCCGCTGTACTCGCGGTAGCTTCTGATTGGTTGACTAAATGACGGTAAAAGTGGAGGAGTGGGCTCTGAAAATCTAAGGCCCATTTCACACAGAATGAACGTCTGGCAGAAACGAGAAGCGGAACTTTGTACCTTTCATTCTGTGTGAATTGGGCCTGAGGTTCATAAATGGCAAGAATGAAGCTCAATAAAAAATACATGAGATTTTGAGCTGGAAGTCACTTTGTTCATCTACTAATTTGAATTTCTCGCTGATTGGTTGACTGAATGACGGTAAAAGTGGAGAAGTGGGCTCTGAAAATCTAAGGCCCAATTCACACAGAATGGGCGTCTGGCNTAGATTGTTTATATATGTAAGTAGTATTCAGAAGTATTTTCAATTATCAATTACATTATATAGTTATTATGATTCTTATATAACCAGAAATGATCATTGAATAAAGAAATTAGTTAGCTTCCTAACTATATTATTAAAGGAGGTCAGTTGAAAGGTAGGTTGCACTATATCGTCTACTTGAACTATATATATAAATGATTCTCACGAGTTAATTGAAAGGAGGTAAAAAGATGAGTTACTGGATTCAGGTTCAGGTTCAGGACACCTTTAAAATGGTTCGTGTCTTGGGTTACATTCACCTTTTGTACTAAAGATTTCGTGCATTTGTACTGGATGTATCGCTCAGCCGAGGCCAGTAGAGCGCAAACTGTATCCACATTTATGCAGCATTGTACAAATCCAGAACAGGCTTTTCGAAGTTCATCCAGACCATAATAATCTGCTGCATTCATTACTCCTACAAAACGTGATGATTATTAATAGTTGAAAATCAAATGTCAAAAGTCATATGAATCTAGTACTCCTTTATCACTTTTTTCAATAAACGAGGAAACAACAGAAAAAGTAGTTCCAAAATATATTGCTTTCCAGAAAGGTTAGTTTAGTAACAGAAACAATTGTACGGAAAAAACAGTTGTTCTCTTGCCAACGTTTAGGTTTTTTAGTTTTTCATCAAGGCTCGGAAAGAAGACTACTTAACTGTATTACAAAAAATGTACTGCTTTCAATATCTCTATCATACGAAAGGTCAGGCTGTTAATATTTCTGTTTAAAATTTGAATTAGCACGAAGCACAATTGAAATAGGCCGATTTCTCAACTTTTTTGTTGTCTTTTTGGAACTACACAAAAAAAATTGAATCTTATACATGAAAATGACTGCCAACAATATTATTAAAAACTCAAT